AGTTCAGCAGCAGCTGCAGCCCCTGTGCCTGCCAGCCCTTCGGAAACAGGATGGGGGGACGCCGCCAGCGCCACCAAGCTCCAGGATTGGGGCCTGCGGGAGCAGCCACAGGATACTGCTAGCAGTGGGCTCCACACAGCAGGAGCAGCCGGGCACCCGTAGTTGAATACTGAGAGTGAGTGGGCTAAGAATCAGTGAACCCGTTGGGCCCTGGCCAGATGGCAGGCTTGGCCCTGTCCCAGCAAAACCTGGGCTGAGCATGGAGCACCAGAGCCACTGAGGTCCCACCGGTCCAGTGCTCTACTGGTTGGGGCGCCCCAGGAGGCTCTCAGGTGCCTGGCTCAGACCCTTCAGCCGGCTCCTCACTGCAGTGCCTGGGTATGGACTCAGGGAGTCCACTGCTGGGCTCCATGGATGAGAGCCCACCACAACTCAGCTATGCCCCAGAAAAAATGTCAGTGCCTGAGGTCTACCCCTCCTCCAAACCAGACCAGGAGCAGCAGAAGCTCCCCAAAAGTGGGGAGAGACATTGTGCTGCCCTTCCCCAGGGTACCATGTCCATGCTGCTTCTTCCCCCCGAGATCCTGCCCCCTGCTTACTACTGAAGTTAGACATTTTTAAATCACTCAGTCCAGACCACTTGCATCCAAGAGTTTTAAAAGAGCTGCCGATGGTGCTCACTGGACCATTAATGTTGATTTTCAATAACTCTTGGAATAGTAGGGAACTTCCAGAAGACTAAAAGGAAATTAATGCTGTGACATTAATTAAAATGGGTAAGGAGGATGACACACATAATTATAGGCCTGTCAGCTTAAGATCAATCCCAGGTAAAATAAGGGAACAGCTGAAACAGGATTCAGTAATTAATGAATTAACATAGGGTAATATAATGCCAATGAACTTTGGGTTATAGAGAATAGCTCCTGTCAGACTAACCTGCTCTTTTCCTTGATACGATTAGATATTTTGTTGACAACAGTATGAGAGTTAATGTCATATACTTAGATTGATGTAAGGTGCTTGAGTCAGTACGGCCCGACATTTTGATTAAGAAAACAGAATAAAACAAAATCGCCATGGCAAACATTAAATGGATTAAAAATGATCTAATTGAAGTAGCAATGTCAAATCCCGTTTAATTGGTTAACTGGTTAAACATAATGTTTAACCAGTTAACTGATTAAACGGGGAGCGGATATGGAATGGTAATGCACATAAACCTGTAGGGGAATATTTTAACCTGCCTGGTCATTCAATCATGGATTTAAAAGTAGCTATTCTTCTACAAAGGAATTTCACAAACCAATTACAGAGAGAGACTGCAGAACTAGAATTCATCTACAGATTTGACACCATTACCAGGGCTTGAGCAAAGACATGGACTGGTTGGTGCGTTACAAAGCCAATTTCTCCTGCCTTTAACATCTGCATTTCCACATTAAAAGCTTTATACGGGACACATCCAGCCCACTTAATTAGCCTCATTAACCTGGGTCCTACAATTGATAGATACTTCTTCTGCTGTATCTTGGTTTCTGTTATTTCCACTCCAATTCATCTGATGAAGTGGGTTTTACCCATGGAAGCTCATGATTCTATATATTTTGTTTAGTCTCTAAGGGTACATCTACACTGAGTGGCTATTTCAGACGGCTGTAAGAGTATGTCTACACTGTGCGGCCACCCTGTATCTTAACAAGCTACCCTATGTGTTAACAAGCCTCCTGTTATTTCAAAATACTTTTCAAAATAACAGGCATGCTATTTTGGCATCCCTGTGTAAAGTTAAGAGATATCTTGAAATAGTGCATTATTTTGAAATTTGGCACTGTGTAGATGCACCAAATTGCAAAATGAGCTATTTCAAAATAGAATCAAAATTAGATATGCAATTTGCATAGCGCAAATTGCGTATCTTATTTTGAGTTTTGGGTGCTGTGTAGATTCACCCTAAGGTGGCACAGGACTACTTGTTTTTAAGGTAATCATCGGGTGCTCCCTCCCCTGTCAGCCATTCCCAGTTTCTGACAGACAGAGGCTAGAGACACCATTCCTACCCATTGTATTACTACTATAATAATCGTTGTGCAAGGTCTGCCTCGTGAGGTATTATCTGAAAACTCCTGCTTTGGTGGGCACTATTGTCTTGATAAAATGTGTGGCAAGATTGCATGTGAACTTATAAGATTCCTTGTATGGTGTTATTAACACATGTTAAACTGCTCAAGATAGTTAAGACCAAAGCAGACTGTGAAGAACTTCAAAAAGAT